ACACACAAATTTCAACTGCAAACATAAGCTTCTGACACTCAGTTCTAAACAGTGGCAGTTATGGCCCTGATTAAATGCAGCATGTCATTTATTTTTCATTTTCTTCTCTCTCTTAATTTGTCAGATTTTTGCCTAGAAACACATTTCCAGCATATCTTCTGCTTCTCAGACTTTTGGTTTTTTTCATAAGAAGTCTTTGACCCTTGTCACCTAGAATATGGTTCAATGTAACTTCTTTTTACAACCTTTTGTCTTCATCCAAGAGATCTACTTACCAAATGTCACTTTTCTAAAACTTTTGGTTTATCAAGAGAATTTCAGCCATTGTGATCTGGAATATAGGTCAGGGTTATTTCTTTTCGCAAGTGTTGTCAGTCTTCATCTAAGAGATTTACGACCCAAATTCCATGATTCCTAAAATTGGTCAGGTGATCAGCTAAATGCAATGCTTCTATGCATTTTGTTAATCAGAAGAAGTTGTTTAAAGTTTTTAGAAAAAATACTTCAGTGACATTGAAGATAATTTCTTTATTGCTAACTTGGTCCGGGTTCATCCTTTGAACTTAATGGCCAAATATCATGCTTCTGCGCATTTTGGTTCGAAAGAAGTTTTTCTTAAGATTTTAACAAAGTTTACCTTACTGACCTCTAATATGGATTAAGGTAATTTCTTTTCTTAAACTTTGTCGGGATTCGTATTGGGAATCTATCAGCTAAAAATCATGCTTCTGGACATGCATTGTGGCTAACCAGAAAAAGTTTGTCAAAGATTTGAATAAATCTGACTCTGATACCTTGCATATAAATCAAGGTCACTTCTTATTCCAAACTTTGCCCCAAAGAACTACCTGCCAAATATCATGTAGTAACAGTAGAAGTCTGTTACCTTGAATATAGGTCAAGGTAATTTCTTTCTCGGAACCAATCAGCTACTCACAATGCTTCTACGCCTTTTGGTAAATCAGAAAAGGCTGTTTTCATATACAATGCAATCATCAATGAATGGCCACAACTGGTTTTTCTACATTTCACAATAGCCAAAAAGATCATAGAACGTTTGTCCACTTTACTGTTTATGTCATACGGCAATATAGTGTCTGCAACAAAGAATAAGTTTAGAAACAGTCTTCATCTCCATAACACTGAGTTGGAAAGCAGGTCGCAATGAGGAGGGTGAAATCGTTAGTATGCATTGAAGTCTATTGATACTCTTAGTCCGATATAATGTATTCGCGCATAAAATATTATATCTATCGTCAATCACAGCAGTTTTCATTCAGTTATTCGGAATGACATTTTCTGTGGAAAGAAAGTTACTGGATTTAATTTCTTTACAACTCTGATGATTAGTTAAGTGTGATTTGGATATCTGGTATGAAAATTACGATAAAGCTTCGTTTGAATTAACATAGTCTATCACTCTGATAGTACTTGTAATTGAAATTAAAAGAAATATTATTAAAAGTTGGATCCAAACATTTCAACAATAGAATACCAAAAAATAATTCTCAAGGTAGGTATCCTATAACTCTTTTTTGTTCTAGATCAGATGATCGTGTGTGAAATTTGATGAAATCTCTTCAGAAATGAAGCCATTTCATTACTGAAAAAGGATTTTCTAAAACCAGTAAGAATGTCTTTGACGCTGAAGAACTCATGCGGGATATTATGGTCCTTTATATGAATGTTGAGCTAGAGCAAAATCTCTCACGAAATCAATCCATTACAAGAACATTTTCTAAAAAGTCAGTGTCAGTGAAACCTTAAGGAAATGACGGCACCAAAGTACTGACTAGGGCATTCTAGTGAGAGGCTCTGTTTTGATGAATCTGAAACCTGTGACCTTGAACATGTTTCAAGGTAATTTTTCACAGACATTTTAGAGCTTCATCCCAGGAAACTACCAGCTAAACACATAATTGTAGGTCTTTTGCACTAAAAATATGTTTTAAGTTCTACTATACAACAACCACAATGCTGAAGGATAAAATTACTCTCGGGATACTAACTACCAGAAACAGAACTTTACTGCATCAACAGGCCAGAGCGGGGGAGTCGCTGGGTTCTCGGATAGGAAATTACAATACTTAACGTGTTGGTGATAATGAAAATTAAAGACATACCACATACGTGCATTGATACAAAAGTATCATACAATTTTAATTGTGTATTTCAAACCATAATGACGAAAATGAGATTTAGGTTATGATTGTGCGACTTTCAAACCATTCATCAAAATTACCGCGTCGTAAATACCTCGACGTCATCCATTTAGGAATATCAATTTCTTACACATATGATATTGTACTGATATCCTAAAATTATATTCGAGTTTTGACAGAGTTGGATCCTACATGAAGAGATTTGAAAACATAGAGAATGTGTTTACCTTTACACCATCTAGTGTGAATAATTATGTGAGATGATATAAGATATCTACAGGGTTCTTTTTCCGCGTATCCTATTGTGGAAAATTTCCTTGACAGGGATGATATGACTAACTTTATCGAAAACTTAAAATATCAGTTTGTTAAAACTTTCCTAGTTGTATTTCTAAAATTGCCAGAAGTTGCCAATGAGTGGCCACTTCATCAGCTAGTATTGGCAAAATTACAACTGTTAGTTTTTCAAGCAGACGTAGTGTTAGCTCGTCTGACACACAAGCCTTTGTTTATAACGCGAAGTGTAATTGTGATGTTCTCCATAGAGGGTATGAAGGCTTACATTTAACCTATTTTGTTTTTTAAAGTATTGTTCATTGGTGTTGTCTGTGTTTGGAAGGCTGACTGGAATTTAGTGCATATGACTTTTTAATCAGCAATCACCAAACTATCGTGTTTCAAGAATAACATACCACTATTAATCAGTTTTCCTACTTTTTATATATGGCCAAAGTTTGTTCATGTTGGGATGTCATAAGTTATGATGCTTTCTTCGTAGTTCCAATAACATCGTTTGTTGATTTGTTTATGAGGTTGCGTCGTAAAGATTCTCCATCTTTTTGTATAATCTTTTTAGTGAGTTTCTTAGTCTGACGTTCTTTCGTTGGGTTTAAGCTTTCTTTGTGAAATAGGCTTACAGACGAAGTTGTGTATGTGGAATTCAGAGTATGCACAGAGTTCATCAGCTGTGTTGGTGTGGGTAAGTGAATTGTATCGATCATTAACATCACTTCTCAAAGTATCCCATTTCGCTTTATTGTACGAAGGGGCATTTCTTTGGACTTGCTTAGTATTCACCAGAACTGCGTGCTTAGTTTACAAAGGAGCCATGTTAAAATCAGGAAAGACAAGTCAAATAGCAGAGAACTGTGGTACAGGTTTGGCATGATACCCCCGTGTCCACTTTCAGAATGCAGAAATACTGAAACTTCTGATGAACATCCTGTTTGATTTTGATATTTATAGTTTCACGTATAACAATGTGAACAGAGTAGAAAGAAAACGTCCACAAGTATACAAGCTCACACAAACTTTCAAAAGGGAAAATCGCTCCATACTTAATTACTTTGTCTTCTTTATGTATGTCAGCATCCTAAATTTGAAACATTATCCATCGGAGGCTTCAGTTGTTGTGTAGAAAGCTGTACAAAAAACACAAGTGAATAACGCTAATTCATTCATAGTTGGAATTAGATACATGAGATTCAAACAGTGACTGAAACTGCATAAGACAGGTGTCACGTCCTTTAGTGATCTGAAGGGCTTATATTCTCAAATTTTGGAGGCAACTGGGAAAAAACCCAAGTTATCGTTGTTGTCATAATCTAAATAGGGAGGTGCACTAGCCCCATAATTTAAGAAATTTAGAAAATGTGAACCTTGACATTATTCTAAAATATTTTATTTGTGGCATGTAAGTTTCGAAAAACTAATGTTCATTAGCAGTGTCTACTATCAGCTATCTGAAAGATTGTACTCAAGTGAAAAGCACCTTTTAATACAAATTTAGAGTAAGATACATTGGAGCCAATAAAACTGCATCACAATTTCATCGATAACACAATATTGAGCAACAATCCTTTAATGTTCATGTGCGAATTAGCACCTTTATACCAATATAAGCACTTCGAAAAAAAAGTATAGAATTAGCTAGTATAGGTGATTTGCGGATCATTAACTGGTACACGGAATTGGCGAGTCATCATCGGGTACATGTAATTGGCGGACTAAAGCTTCAAGAACATTCTCACGAAAGTACAAGTATAAAGGGTGTAATAAACACCCATCTGAGTTTTAGGAGAGACATGCTCTGTAGTTTGTCGCTTGCAGCAGACATGCAAACAATGATAATAATTACACTGCACATGTCACCATCAGTCTACAAACTTTGATTATGTAGTGTATTTATTGATCAGTTCCATTCCTGAAGTAATTACAAAAACGAATAATATATATAGAACGAGTGAATAACATCAACCGGGTTTATCGGCACCTTAATTGCCAGCGGGACACTATTGAAGCGTAAGGAATATATTAGTTTCATTCATGAAATCTTAATGAACAACGGTGCTTTTTCGTACAAATACGTGACGGCAGTTATCACGGTAAACATTATATAAGCTGAAATCTTAAAAAATCGCCCGACTATTTTTTTAAGACTGTCCCTTCATATACTTCCTTTGTAGTTTTTTTCCTGACTGAATTAAATACTAATGTACCAATATGATAACGTTCATATCTATGATAGAATTGTATTGTCAAACATAAATTGGAAGAGAGAAATAACATAATGGTTGAATACCACTTTTGTTTATGAAATGAAATATATTAAAGTTGATTTACCATACTTTATGTTTCTATGGTTAGCTATCAAGTACACGTGCTTCTTTTGGAGTTTAGAAGCCGCCAAATGGTTTGTTAAGAAACATATCAGACATGAATTATTACCGCATCATTCAGTAATATATATTGCATGTAATATTTTCCGTGTCCCATTCCGGCCTGATAATATGAACACACGGAATTTGCTAATAACACCTGTGGTGTGACACTTGTGAATTAGATACTGATGACGTCAGCTTAGATGTCACTAGACTGCTCCAACTGTGATATAAGCAAGGCGGTGAGTTCCTCCTGAGAACTATAAACAGACGATAAGCTTAGGGTTCGTGTGTCTGGGTCAAAAATTGGTGGCTCGGACACCGCATGGTCGTGGAACCGTATGTGGAGCTGATCTACACACAAACAATCAAAATAGCACCACTTCATCAACATTTGGGCTATTTCATGTGTCGTCATCCTCATAATGGCCACTTCCAGGTACATTTTTGTCCTCTTTTCCTCCATCCCTGCACAAGTGTTTTGCTCTGCAGGGCTAAAGATAAAGTTTACTTTTTCGAACAATTTCATTGCATTTGGCGAAAGGCGTGCATACAACTCGAACACGTTGTGTTCAGTAATGACCGGTAACTTGCTGGAGAAGCTCGATACGAACCCTGCACTGATACCAGACAGGGCCCAGTATGGACTTCGTATCAAGTGGTACCTAGACAGACGTAGAATCAGACCTTCGAATGTACACGGAAATGGTTTCACTTTATTTCCGTAAAAGTGTAACACCCTACAAAGATTTCTCAGTGTAGGGTGTGAAAACTCTGTCATGTTATATCTCATCTCCTTCTTTGCCTCACTCACAACGTTTTTCTCTGACTCAGACATAACATTATAGAACGACGTTGTTAATTGGCTGTCTGAACACTTCTCTGTCAATATTACCGCTGTACAAGCTTGTGCTAGTTTCACGGGCCAGTAGTCGAACAATACCAGTCCATGGTATAGTACTTTCCCTAACAGAACAAAAAAGTCTTCATCTTTGTCGAGGTCAACTGTAGGGACATACTCCCGATCTCCCTTGAAGAACCGATGAAATATTTCTCTCCAAAACATAACAAAGAGCGTGGCTGTCGGGATAGCATGATTTTGATCAGTTGGCGACCTGTCGTTAGCCATAAACACCCGGATGTGATGACTAACAAAGTTTATATTTTCCTTGTAAAACTTTAAGACGTCATCTACGAGGTGTTCTTTACGGATCGTCACACTCAATGGACTTTGAAGAAGTGCTCTGTAGGCTTTAACGATATTGGTAAGTTTAGAATTTTCTGGAAGAAAATGATAATTAAATCAGATTAATTCCCTAATGCATTAAAATAAAAGAAAATACATGTGAACATGTATATAATAATGGCATAGGTCAAACAATGAGCTATTTTACGACGAAGGTTAATTATTAATATGTTGGCGTTGAAAATGCCTACCATTGAACACCACATCAGTATTGTTATTGGAGGGGACGTCAGGATATGTTGGGCTCCTTACTGACGGTTGTTCAGCAGGTTTGGACGATCTAGTCGTCAATGGACACGAGTCTCGTCGTTCTTTCTTCACAATTACCTCATGCTCTTCCTATCAAATAAAGAATCAAATCAATAAACAGATTATAGAATCTCCTTTTGACACGGCCAGAAGTATTTCATTATCGGATTCAGAGCTAATGCTTTGAAGTTTGAGTCAATCGTTGCTTTGGTAGTGTTGCCAACATTGCTATGGTAGTGTTACTAACGTTGCTATGGGAGTGTTGTTAATGTTGCTATGGTAATGTTGATAAGATTCAGTGTGACTGTCTGTATGGAAAAGAACCATTTGATATCACGTTTTTATACTTGTTATATAGAATCGTATGCTACTATAGCACGCTGTTTCGTTGATATTCCTTTGATACATTACAGGCTACAGGTACACATGTTACATTACTACACAATTAGTCATTATTTAGATATATAGAAATTCTGACGAAAACGTCTCACAATATCTCTTTAATGAACTTCTACTGCAGCTGAATTCAACTTGGTAAGAAAAGAAAGGATACTTGATGGCATGACTATGAAAAATAGATATTCTGTTATACTCGTGAAATATATATGACATGTGTGAAACCTTTGATATTTACAGAAAAAGAGTCTATCAAAATATGGAAATAAATGTCTGGGAGATAGCATCACCCCGGATATGTCGACACTACACTTGGCAACAAGACGACATATTTTCAAATGTGGCTTTACGTTGCATTCCACAATTTCAAACTGTTCCTGGTAAGAATATCTCATAAAACTGTTTTAATTTACCAGGTTAGAGAAAGAACATTTGTTTCCCAATAATTCAATGCAGTGATTAAAAGCCAGCACTTCGAGTGATTTAAACTACAAAAGATAGTTTCATTAGAAAATTTTACAAAAAATATTCATTGCAATGATGATACCGGTTTTTATGAAATTGACTAATTTCTTTACTTTACTGACTCAAATATAAAAAATGTGTGTATGTATATATATATAATTGACATGTCCCTACATATTGTACTAGCAAACTTGTATTAAATCAGGGACGTATAATTCTGTAATTACCTCATTTTCTATAGAGTTGAAAGACGATATTACGGGCAGACGCATTGTACTCGTGGGAATCGACGGAGTCATGACAGAAGTCATCTGTAATGTCAGTTGCGCTGGAGAAGCAACTGGGGTAGGTCTGCCATCTAGAAACGGTGTCTCTGTCTCGTCAAGCGTCATGTGATCGATTTGATCTGATGAAATTTGAATGAAATAGTCCTCCCCTGTCCTGTATATGACCGACTGCGGACGGTCATTGTCATTATCCTGCAGAGATAAAACAACACCATTACTTCCGGCACTATTAATATTCATTGGTGGTTAAAATTCATTATAACAATTAATGATAGCCTTTCGGTCATTGCATTATGATGTAATTTCATTTGATGTATGTAATTTAGAGTCGCGCGATTTTATCTTACGTAGGGTATGACAATAAGATAGCCCTGGTACTTCATATCTTTGATTCCCCTTGGTGTATCATGCTCGACGCGCAGAAGCCGTCTCTGTTTGTCGATTTTGTAGACGTCCCATTTTCGGCTTATCAGGTTTGGAAATAGTGTCCTTATGAATTCCCTGAACTGAGCGGCATTATACGACAGATTGATATGTGTCTTTTGGGCAATACCATCGTTGTAGGCCTGTGCTGGATACCCTGGAACAATATAGTATACAGAGAGTTTAATCCAGAATGTTGTTTATTTGAATAAATTATTATCAGTATTGAACACACTAACCAACCCCTCAACTCCCCACTGGTTTCTAGTGCCATGTCCTGTTGTAATCATGCTACAAGTAAAATGTAATTATTTGAAGAAAAATTCAGAACGAGGCTAAAGTTTGTTTAGATAAGAAAACCACCAAAACAGTAAAGAGTCATAGTTTATAGATGTTTACACATATACTTAAATATTTACATTTAAAAAGAAATATCATGAGCATAAACTTAAATAAATTAAAAAGACAAGTAATACCAGCTGCTGGGTGCCCATGACCTTACCTCCAAGATTATCAAAGAACAGTCATCGTGTGACTATGCCTCCCATAGTGAACTTTACATGGAAGAGTATGCTACTTAGTTGACTTAAGCTTGTTTTCCCAACCCAGATGTAAAGGATTTCAGTATAATATCGTTAAATCTGCAGAACAAATATTATTGAAACTAACTGAACTATTCTAGATTCTTATCAAACTTAGTCATTATAAAACAACTTTATGAAGAATCAAT